CCTGGGAGACGACATCTCGAGTCTGATTGCGGAGCTGAGTGAGGTGAGGCGGGCATCAGCTCTTGCCAGAGTCGGCGATACCCTTTCCAGAGTTCCCTTTCCACAGCTTGGCAGAGTCCAGCGTGGATGGCCACTGTCTAGAGCCCAGGCTCGGAGGGGACCACAAAATCTGCGAAGGGAGGAGTTCCAGGAACCCCGCCCGCGCTTGCTCAGATAAGGAAGAGCTGAGGGTTCCTAGGTTGGTATCAGATCTGTGAAAAAGTCCTGTGAAGGTTGTTTGTGCACGCGGAACTTTAACATTTGAGGACGGGTGTTGTCGTTTTCTATTTCCTGTCTCCCGCCCTTAACTCACCCTTAAGTGGTGTTGTGAAATTTTTGGAGGCAAGCGTCAACAAGCTCCTCCATGCCTTCTTAGTGGGCGGTTGGGATTCTCTTGCTCCGAGACAGCACACCAAACCGTGGCAGTGCATATGATGGAACATGTTTGTTCAGGAAGAACAAGAGGAACCATGTCCTTATACTGGGACATCTCCAGGGGGCCAGCATCTTCCCTCTGTGACGGCAGTAATCTTTACAGGTAGTTCATGCATGCCATCGCTGAAAACCTCAGTAGTGTATCTATCAGAACAGCCCCTGGCCGGCTCCCAAGAGCAGCCTCAGCTGTTCAAAGAGCAGGCGCACCACTCAGCGCTGAGCCAGTTTGCTAGTCACAGCGGCGTTAACTCAAGAAACTCTTCGCTAATAAAAGGGGAAGTCAAATGTCCGGGAGATTAATGGAAATAATCGGTGTTGGTTTCCTTTAAATAATTTTCAGTACTACTTTAAAAATTAGTTTTGATTTCTCTAGAAATCATTCCAATGGGATATAAAAATCGTGTCGCGCATTAGGAAGCTTATGGTCGCAGGAATGCCAAATGTTCCTCGGTCGATTAATGTTCCTTTCTTTGTTCTTCAATTTCCTCACCTGTAAAATGAAGGTCGAGAGATTGTCACAGGCTGCCCCCCCCCACCCGCCGCCGCCGCCCTGTTCTCATCTTGATTTCATGGAGTGGTGGGATGTCAGTAACACGATTCGGATAATGTGGAGTCGAATTGTAGTTTAACAGGAGGTGTTTAGAAAAAGTGGACCAGCTATGGCCAGGATCAGAGCCGAGGTCTGAAAGAGTCATCAGTGAAGCAGCAGTGTCTCCGCTTTGTAGGGATGCAGAGCTCTGCGGGAGCTCTCTGATCCTTCTCTCTGCATCCCGTGGACCTTCTGTGGAGCTCCCCTGGAAGCATTATTACTGCCTCCAATTACAGATTTAAAAAGTGCACCAATGCAGGCTGGAGAAACATCTCTTGAGATTTTCCATTGTATCTATGTTTGAGCAGAGAACAATCTCCATAAACAGTTATTCTGAGAATAACTGGAAGCCAGGACTAGGCCAAAGCCCAGTATGCTGGGAAGTGGATGTTGAATTTGTGTCTTGTTTGGAGATTCAGGGAAGTTGGGAGGACTTTGTTCACATTCTCCCTCAACCTCAAGTGTCCCGACTTCCTCAAGCTCTAGTCCTGTGAGCTTTTTCTCTTTTAGCTGCTACTTCTGCCACTGATTAAGTGTTAAGTTAGCATTGTAAAGGAATTTACACAGCTCGCCCATGCCTTCTACACTTGGTTCTACAGTGAGTGCTAAGGACAGAATCAAACATACACTCTATGCAAAGGGGAAAATGACCCAACACTAGAATTCTTGGAAGGAGAATTTCATGCCTCATGTGTCCATAGATACTACTGGCTTGGAGAAAGAACGGACAAAAATTCCAGGAAAGGGGAATGCTTTCGAGAGGTTAAAACTTAGGAGCCTGACCTGGAACTAGCTCTATAGACCAACCTGGGCTCACTCACACAGATCCATCTGCCTCTGCCTCCTGAGTCCTGGGATTAAAGGCTTGCACAACCATTGTCTGGTTGGTTAAAACAATGTCTTTTTAAATGAAGACTTTTTAAAATTGCCATTTGTTACATATAAATTAAAATTACCGACAAAGATATAATATTCAGACCCAGAGATGTTGCTCAGTGGTAGTCTACATAGCATGTGTGAGGCCCTGGGTTTGAGCCCTAGCGACACACACACACACTGTTCACTATTCATAGACTATAACTCTTTGCGTCTTAATAAAATACAAAACTTTTAAAAATACCCATTTCTATTTCAATATGTGCCAACGTGGAAGAAAAAAAAAAAAAGGCCTGGGTTTTCATCAGGGAATTGGGCTGGCTCTAAACCCTCAGAGTTGCCAGGTGAAGGGCCAGTGACTTCAGAGAAGAGGCATGGCCCCTGTGAGTCTTTGGCTGCTCTGCCACGCTCTTACATAGTCCTAAAAAAAGGAAGGCTGCTCTGTTTGGGCAAGGTGCCGAGTAGATTTTGTGCTGTGAGTTATGGTAAATTGTCTGCCTTGTCGCTGTTTACCAGAAAAGGGCCTCACTGGCTAGAGGAGTTGGCAGATACTTCCTCTGGCGACTGATGAAGCCATCAGGTTTTGCAATGAACTTGGCTGTTCCCTTCTAACAAATGGGTGATTGACAACTCTGGAATTCCGTTCTTCCACATTTGTTTAAAAAGTGATGTGGGATTCATTTAAAGTAGGCCCCACCACACACAGTGTGTCCGCACACCGAGCATTTTGGTGCCCAGTTGGGTACCAGCAGAGGTCTAACTCACCCTGAAGGTCCTCAGTGCTCTTGCCTCTCTGGACTTTGGAAACCCTTTACATTTATTTGGGCATTTGGCAGAACAAAGTTTGCACTGGTCACGTGGGCCGGAAAGTGTGCTTGTGGTCAGAATTGTGCTTGTGCCTTCCTTTCCAGAGACTCCAGGACCCTCAAGTCACCAATGCAGAGGGAAGGCAGGCCACAAGAGCTGACTGAGTCAGCTAAGCTCAACCCCAGCCTTTCCCTTTCAGTCACAGTGGGGTGAGGACTGCAGGGGGGGGGGGGAAGGGATGAAGACAAAGGGGAACTCCAAGGAGGGCTGTGCCTCAAGGAAGCTGAAGTGTGGAGGCTTGTCCTTTCTAGGTTCCCAAGGCACCATCCTTCTCAAGCTGCAGGGCCGTTCCACTGGAAGGGCGTCCCTCAGGATGTGCACATTCAGGGCAGCTACTTTTTGTTCCTTTGATTGATTCGTTCTTTGAGGCAGGGCGTCTCTGTGTTGCCCTGGCTGTCCTAGAACTAGCCCTCTAGACCAGGCTCACAGATATCCACCTGCCTCTACCTCCCAAGAGCTGAAATTAAAGGGGTGCACTTTTTTTTTATAGCAATTAGACTCCTAGAGGTTTTACACAGTGATCAGGAACGATAGCTCATTGGCAAAGGCAAATGAGCCAACTTCAGCAGCATTTGCAGGAAGAGCAGAGCTTTCCCGGATCTATTGCAACACCCGGATGGCCTCATCAGTCCCCAGGGCAGTGTCAGCCAACCCCTCTAGCCAGATTGCTCTCCTTAGCAATCAAGCTTTATTTAATAACTGCTACCAAATCTTGCATCTCTGAACCTTTCAAG